TCCAAAACAAAAAAAAAAAAGAATTGAACGAAAGGAAATATATAAGTTCAAGATTTTTAGGTTTGAAACTTCAACTTTAAAATTTCAAAAGTATGAAAAATTTTTTGAAATGAAAAGAAACAAACAATATTATCAATTAATTTATAGTCTGTATCGGAGATTGCAATACAGCCAAAGCATATATGGTTATTCGTTTATTTTTGCATACCAAAAAATAACTATTAAAATGAGGAAATAATTTACTAACATGAAATGAAACATATAAGAAATCATTATTAAGTAATTTTGAAAAGTATGGAAATTACTTAATTTTATAAATATAAATTATTAATTTGAAATTATAATCTCAAAAAAGAAGAAGAAGAAGAGAAAGAGAAGGACATATAATCGAGAAAATATTTGCAATTTAAGAGAAATGTTTAACGCTGAATGATTTATTAGTGAATCCTTTCTCCTAAAAAAATACTTTGCCATATCGTTTTTCATTTTCGATACAACTCGAAAAGTATAAGTTTAATGATTAATTAATCAGTATTTCATTCTCTTGTCCAATTCCATATCATTTCATTCCTTTCTTTTTACTTATATTGAAAATAATGATGAAGTAATTTGTCGGAATGAGAATTTTAATCGTTTCCATTAAATGCTTTATTACATCATTTTTTATATAAGAATAAAATAATGATAATTCGAGAATGAATGCTCATTTTAAATAAGAATTTCATTTGCTACTAATTGAAAATTTTTGAGAGAATAATTTTTAAAATAATGAATATTAATGATAAGATAATTAATATTCCGTCAAAAATAGTTTAACAAAATATTTTTCAAAAGAAATTAATAAAAAAAAAAAAAAAAAACAAGTTGTACTAAAAGAATAAATCAAAGCTACGTTAACGGTACTAAAATAGAATTATTATCACATTACATATATTTCCTAGTTATATCCTTAATAGCTATTCTTGAATCTATCGAATTTATTCAATCAATCAATCCTGATGGAATTCATTGGAAATGGAAATTGATGGAATTCGATCATTTGATCAAAACTATTGAGTATGCTATGTATGGTCAATTTAAAAGCGATAAAGTCGTACTAATCTTCATATAGTTGATATCAAGAAAAGTTTATACTTTCGAAAATATCAGCAAATGTACTGTGCGACAAAACCGCCTCTATACTCAGTGGTAATGCTAATGCATTAAATCCATATAAATGTCATTGCTGTGATAATTGGGAATGTAGAAGCTTCTCATATTATCATATCTTATATCATTACAACAAATTACTAAAGAATATACTAGAAAAAAAAAGAAAAACATCTTAATATCTAAGAATTTTTTTCCTTTTTTTTTGAGCGAAAATAGAAAGGAATTCACAATTTTTCAAATTATACTTTATGAGTGTAATAAATCAGAAATTGTTGATCTTTGATGCTTTAAAGATAGTTTAAAAAGAACGCAATGATAAATTGTGTACAAAAAGAAAACAAAAAAAAAAAAGTTTTCAAAGAATTCATTCCATTTAGAAAAATAAATCAACCGATAAATTTTGTAAATTTGATGATAACCAAAAAAGATGATAATTAATGATTAGAACCATCAGAAGAACTGATGTGCTACATCGAGTGTCCCAATTATGTATGATGCCTTTTCATTCTATGTTATCAGTGCCTGATATGGATCTCCAGAATTTAAAGGATAAACATTTTAAAAGCTATTGACATTTATTTGAAATGTCATATATTATGAAAATGTCAACAACCTATATTTATAACGATTGAGGCTTTGAAAAAAATCCAAAAATTTTATTCGTTAGCAATTCAAAGAGACAATAAATTATTTTAAAAATTATTTATGATTCATCGCTTCAATCACTCTATATTCGAATGATAAATTTTCATTTTAGTATAGATGTGATGGTATTTGCAAATGAAAGTTAAACTCTTAAACAGTTAAACAAAGTTAACTTTCAAATAAAATGTAACGATGGAAATGATTAATGGAAGTTTTCATGCTTATATATTAATTTGAAAAGTTAATAAATCAATTTATGATTGTTAAATTTTAATAGAAATAATTTGGTAAAGAATTACATGGAAAAAAAAAGTGAAATCATTCCCTTTTATTTTAAAATTTAAATCGCTTTTTAAAAGATAAAATATAGCAAATGAAATGATTGCTTCTTCGGAATAAAATTATATCAAACTATAAGTAAAAAGAAATCAAGGCTGCAGGATAACTAATGTTAATTAAGAGCCAAAAATTATCATCTGAAAGTTAACTGTCCAAAATGTTAATTACCACATCTACAACCTATCCGGATATTGTTCTCTGTTCTTATCCTGACTATCCCTATCTTCTGCTTTACTTATCCATCTCTTCATGAAAAAAAAAAAGTTAGTTTAAGGCCTGATCACGAAGAATGTCACGTCTATATATTGTCGTCTATATATTGTCTATACAACGTCTATATATTGTTGAAATATGATAACTCCCCGAAACCTTAATCGATAATCTAGCCAGAGATTTACATGAATATTTCTGTAGTTTGAATAGATGAATGGTTTTCTTTTCTTTTTGTAAGAATGATTTCTGGTTAAAGTTACACTAACATTTTTTTTTTTTGTACTAAAAATTAATTTAAGAGGTAAGTTTTTGGGAAAGTTCAAATTTTATTAGGGACAATAAATGATATGACACTATATTTACAAGATAGAATGTCTTAAAGTAATCTGTAAGATTAGAAAAGTTAAGACCTTAGATGATATTCAATAAGATTCAAGATTAGCCCATCAACTAGACGTGTAAAGGTGGATAGAGTACGAGAAGAAATGTTGTCATAATCCACTTTAAAATATATCATCAATATTACTCACATATGTGTTTGCTTGTTTAATAAGTCTTAATCGATTTCTCATTAATTCCAATCCTTATAACATTCTACAACCTATGTGACACTCAAATATTGCTACTCCAATTTTACACTTCCAGTTAAAGATAGCAAATAATAGCTTAGCTTATGCTATCTTTCGATTAATAATTATTATTAGAAATGGAAATAACACTGCACACTTCATTTATTAAAACTTCAGTATTTCCATATAAGACTGATTGTCAAGCTTTCTTAAATTTCAAGTATTCCAGTGATGAATTATGGAATATTAAAATTTGAAATGAAATACATCTTAATTTTATATCATTTCATTTACATCAATCAGATAGATAATTTTCTTTCAATGATATTTAATTAGTTTAATTTCATGTAAAAAGCATGCCATAATGAAGGTGAATTATTAGAAAGGAAGATAATGAATGAATCAATAAATATTCATCAAATTTCATTCAGAAATAAATTTTTACATTTTTTGAAAATTTAAAAAAAAAAAAAAAAAATCAATAAATTGCTGACAGAAAGCGCATGTGTTGTCTCTTGAAGCGATATATTTGCATAAATGAAATAAAAAGATATCAAATGATATCAACAAAAAAAAAAAATCAATCAATTGCTGACAAAAAGCGCACGTGCTATTTCTTGAAGAAATATATTTGTAGAAAAAGAAGAAAAATAAAAAGCTTAGGGAAATAAATTTTACTCTTTGATCAATTCTAATTTTGAAATTTTAAAAGTGATACTTTTCATGAAATTTCAACTAATTCGCTTTTCAAAAAAGACATTTGGAACTTAAAAGAACGGAGCAAATGGCATTAGTATAGCAAAAAAGCAAACATTCACTTCATTTCTTTGACAATATAACGATAATCCATTAATGTGCTGATAAAATGATAACAATTAGATTGATAATTGCAAAGGTACTAATAATGACGAGCATTATCTAACGATTCCAGAGTAATTGCTCGAGAGTGAAAAGTAATCAGTAAATTAATTTAATCCTTCTAAAGATTATTTCCAATCATTTCCAGATTTTCCAAAATCCCTTATCTTCAATTTAATATAAATTCTTGAAATGATAAGAGAAATCAATTTTGCTTCGTTTCTCTGATAACATAATGATAATCCACCAATATGCTGATAAAATGATGATAAGTGAAGAAAGAAATCGAGAGTAAAAGCTAACATTACACTTATTGCTAAATTGATCAACTCGTCCAGATTGGAATAGTATATCTATTCCAGATGAGTTAATCAATTTTTCAACAAGACTAAGCAAGTCTTAGCCTAGTCTCAAATCAATAATCAGAGATAAACTCAGAGACTTGGCTGGCACTACCAGCCAAATACTTGCATGCATGCTAGCATCATATCTAAAAAGTTTTGTGCAACAAAAACAAACAAACAAACAAGGAGGAACAGTACTGTTGACCATCGATTACATGCTTCTGTGATGCGCGTGCCGTTTGCGCATGCTGTGTCTGTCAGTCTGTTCCCCTGTCTGTCAATCTAGTCTGTTTGCCTGTCTGTCAGTCTGTGTTTGCACAGAAGAGAAGAGAGATGGAAACAAAAAGTGTTCATTATTTATCTTTCGGAAATAAAAACAAATATTTAACTTTTCTAAATTTAATCTTTTCTTCATTTCTTCAATATTATCAGCAAAAATTCTAATTTAATTTCTAAAACTTTCGAAAAAAGTTTTGTCTTTTTACAAACGGAAAATGTCACTTATCCGTATTTCCGGACCGGATTTTCAATACTGTTCATTCATCCCATTTTCTTTTATGTCCAAATCGTTGATGTTTCCTATTATTTTGCCTCATTTAAATGTTTCACGAATCCTTGGGATACATTCATTTTGGCCTTCGAGCCTAAGGCTCACATCTCACATCTTATCCAATCCTTTAGATATCATCAAAAAATTCGCAAGAGTACGGTAGAAAAGAAATGAAATTATTTTAAGATTAGGTCCACAAGTAAATTCCGGTTGAAATTTAAAGATTGCATAGGAATGGTACTCTTTGCGAAAACATTATTGATCACTGTCAGATGACATGTCATCTAGCCCACAAGGATAAAATTATCCAAACACAACAGTAGGGTTATCTAAGAATTGGAGAGGATGTTACAAGACATGAAAGGTACAGTAAAGACAAAAAGTGAGAAGGATGACACAACGGGTGAGTATCTTGCAAATATCCCGCGCAATAATCCCAAATCTCAGTCCATCGATCGTGATCAGGAAATACGAAACTGAAAAATTTGTTTATCCATATTCCTTTTTTTTTGTTTGAAAAATAAACCGGAAAGTATGAATTGACAAATCGGTAACATTTCATTGATTTATTGGGAAGGAACGAATTGAACTTTAAAAGAAGGACCCGTTAGGACAATGAAAATGCGTCAAAAGGGTGACATTTAATGAGCTGTGGTCAAATGCAATAAATTGTCTAAGAAAGGAAAGGAAAAAGAGATGTTTCAAAATAGTAGTATGGATATAAGTTAATATTTAACAGAAATTGACTTACGCACGTGAGACACGCTATAATAACACACGTAGCAAAGTTTATTAGAGTTTAATTGTTTGATAATGTACCGTAGGAATAAATAAAATTAGTGGAAATTTGAAATAAAAGAATTAATAATGATTAGAAGAGGAGACAAATGGAATATTTTTATTAATTAATACAATTTTATTGTATTGGGAGATGATAGTTTCTGTTAATTAATTAAGAGGAAAGAAAGATGACGATAATTAGAAAAAAAGATATAAAAACGAAGATATTCGTAATTCGCAGTTGAAACGTTATATAACTTGAATGGGTTGTGAGACATATGATTAAGTAAAATATAAAATGTTAACGGAAAAAAAAGATTTGTATAATATTTAATGCGCAGAATCACGAATCATAAAAATTAGAAGTTTACATGATCATGAATTATAAAAATTAGAAGTTTACATGATCATGAATCATAGGAATCAGAAGTTTACATGATCATGAATCATAGGAATCAGAAGTTTACATGATCATGAATCATAAAAATCAGAAGTTTACATGATCATGAATCATAAAAATCAGAAGTTTACATGATCATGAATTATAAAAATCAGAAAATGTTTAGAAGAATTGACAAATTCTTAATAAATAGGTCTGTTTATATGATTAAACGAGTTAAACAAAGGGATTATGGTAAGTTAATAATTTCTTTTTATGAATTTATTTGATATATGTTAAATATATTATAAATTTCTCGGATTTTCAACAGTAAAAGGCGCATTTGGTTCATTTTACAGCAGGTATTAATTCAAGTTAAAAAGTTTGACATGACATTTGACATCAAACCTTTCAACATTTTATTAAATCAAAGAATACTTAATAACTTGACGCTCCATTAATTAAATCATTTAAAAAAGTATTTAATAATTTGAATTTGGAAAGAAAATTGTTGAAGTAATGCGGCAGTTTAATTTAAAATGGTCCAGTTCAACTAATCAATAATTAGCCAATTAATAGAAACTAAGGATTAATTTGCATATTTCTGCTTTTTTTAATTTCTAAACTATTTTAAAATATAGCATAACATACGGAATATTCTATTTAGCAAATAATTTGCCTTTTTTTTTTTTTTCTCAGTACAATGATTATCTTGGAAAACAATTCTTTGATGATTGGAACAAATGTATAATTGTGATAAAGGTTTTACTGATAACGGGGGATTTATTCTTTGAATACATTATAAGGATAATTATCAGTTAATATATCACGAATAATCTCGATCATTACATTATTCTTTGTTGTCGTGAACAGACGATAATACTAAGTTGAACCGAATCGAAGTGTATTGAATGACCCCAAATGATAATGATAGCTTTCCTTTTATATAGTGAAAGGTTGTTTACCATTATTTCTACAATTGCACTTCAAACTACATTTTAATTATTGTGCAATTCCGACATTTGCGCATGAAATTCTTTCAACATAAACATATTTTTATATAAAAAAATATTTCGATTATTTCAAGCAATGATGATAACAATATGGATAATGATAATGATGTTAAAGACTGATTCATATGTCGTACAAATGGCAAACATTCAAGAGAAAAAAAAAAGATCTAAAACATCTTATGAGCTAACGAGAAGTGGGAATTTTAATTTACAAGGAGAAGAAAGATAAGAAAAGTGGATAGAAAGAGATCACTAAGAAGAATGATTGGAAAGAATGGTCGTTTCTTTGAAAAAAAAAATGTTTTAACGATTGAATTATGACAAGTGAAGTCAATCTTTGCTCTATTAAAGCTGAAAATCAGGTATTATTTGCTATAATTCAGCATTTTGGAAAGTTTCCTCCATACTTAAATCGTTTTGAAGTTTTATAAAAACAGTTTCGTAGGAATTGGTATAATACCTTGTATGCTTTGAATGTTTTTCAGAGAGGTCATATACAAATTCTACAGAGTGATTGAAACTAATTTTTAAATTTCAGCCATTCACATTTAAGATGTTGCAGTACCATAAATTTAAATCATTAGTAATTGAAATTTTTTTTAGGGATGGGACAATGGCATAGCCCATCGTGGCCGCATTAATTTTTTTGTTACCAGTAGATTTTTCGAGCAATTGAGGCGGGGAAGTGTGGAATATCTTTCTTTTGTGGGTTCAAAGGTCGCTTTTGCCCTGTATCTCAATATCCTCACTCTTTATGTTCCTTTCTCTCCCTCTCTTGCGAGGGGAATGTCATAAGAACGATTTAGCACAGTTACGAGAAATCGAGCACAATTCGGTCCAGTGCTTCATTCTAGCTTAGTAATCATAGGCATGATCGGAGAATATTGAAATTTAATCTGCAGCTTAAAGCTTAAACTGATGTGACTGCTTCATGCACTCAGTTCTGAATTCATTATTGATCTACTTTTTAGGCTAACTTGTCTCTTTCAAGCACTCAGTCAATTGCTGATAATGGATCTACCGGTGCTGGAGGACGATAACAAAGCGGTGGGGCACAGTGAGCCGATTAGTGCCATTACTGTTTCGCTACATCCTTTAGTTATAATGAATATATCGGAACATGTAACTCGAATAAGTGCACAACGGAACGATGGAAAACCCTTCGAGGTGAAACTTTAGACCACTTGTTATATCTTTATAATTTATTTGTCCAGCATTTAATTATTTACTTCAATGCTTTTTCTCATGGTATTATGTTGAAAATTATTTTGGATGTAGGTTTTTGGTGCAATACTTGGGAAGCAGTCTGGAAGGCATGTTGAAATGATGAATAGCTTCGAAGTGAAATGGAGTGACGAAGGAAAGGGTTATGCAGTTATTGATGCGGGCTTTCTTTCTACACGAGAACAGCAGTGTAAGGCCTTTTTTTAGGCGGCACACATGAAGCCTTAATCCTCGGTCATATCCAGTTACTGTATATTTAACCTTTTTCACTTCACTCCGAAGAGGAATGATATCTGTTGTTCACGTTGTGATGTTTTTTCCTTCATTGCTTTTCATGAAATTCTGCAGTGCTAATGTACAGCAGTAACTGGTTAGGAGTGGATATCTTAATGTGCTTATTTAAATTTAGCGTACGTGCCTTACGTCCAACTTGAATGAAGTATTTCAGTTTTGTGTTTTTCAGTAGCCGGATTCATATAGTTTTGTGTATTTATTTTCAGATCAAGAAGTATTTCATGATTTGGATTATGTTGGCTGGTATACGATTGGAAGCACAACACCAACATCAGCAGATTGGGAGGTGCATCAGCAATTCTCCGCAATACATGAATCACCAATTCTGGTGAAACTTGATCCAGAAGCACCACCGGGCAATAAAGTACGAATTTTAGACCCATGTTCGAGTTTATAAAATCGACAGCACTTAACAAGTTTTCTCAGTTTCTCATGCGTGAAAAAAACGACAAGGTAACAAACAATTCAGCTAGCTTGACGAATGAAAATTATTACCTTTTAAATTTGTAGTAAGTGGGGACTTTGCTGAATAATGAGCTGTAGCTCAACATGTGTTTATTTACAGTTACCAGTGGCTATCTATGAATCTCTGTGCACTACCGGCTTATCAACAAACAGCCCAGGTTCAGTAGTATGGCATTCAGTTAACTGGTCATTAGCCAGTGAACAAGCGGAACGTATTGGGATTGAACACGTTGCTCAGATCTCAACTGTTTCAGCAAACACTATTTCTTCCACTAATAAACAAATTGTGGGGCAGTTGGGTGCTATAAATATGCTGCAATCACGACTCGAACTTCTTTACGATTATTTAATAGTAAGTCGGAATAGTTCTAATTAAAATATAGAAGTGTTCGTTTTGAATAAGATTTAGAAAAGATATGAAAAATAGGTTTTATTCCACAGGTAAAGATAAGACACACTTCGTAAAGGACCGATCTCTAGAAAAGTGGAATTGCTGTGAAGAATTATGCAGACACTACTTCAGGCAGTTCGTAAAGGCGAATTACCACGCGATGAAGCTATTATACGAGAAATCGCTCAGTTAGTACGTCGAGTACCAGTTATGGGTTCGGAAAAATTCTTACAGCAATATAAAAATGTAGGTTTCACTATTAATAAGGTTTAGTAAATCACTGTAAGAGCGTTTTGTTAAAAGCAAAAACTATTTCATGATTTATTTTGAATTCTTGTTTGTGCAGTTGCAAAATTCACTATTTCAGCAGTGCCTGGAAGTCAAAATGACTTCGCTTGTAGCAGTTCTTGCAAAAACTTGTGGGACGCTTAATGATGTAAGTAAAATTCATTTTAAAATATTTTCAGCTTTACTTAAGGGAAAAGTCATACATATGAGGTGGTAAGAGAGAATCGATTCATGCAAAAAGAAAGGAAAGATGCATACGTTGTTGGATCGTAATTTTAATCTTTATGAGTTTCAGCGAAATTTTTGTTTAATTGTGGTTAACCTGAATATAATTTCACTATTTCAGCTAGTAACAAAGATGAATGTGATGTCAATGGAAAGACAAACTTGGCTTGTTGCCTCTGGCAGACGAACGCGTCCTTTTCATGCTATGTGATTTGGTACTTTGAGGTCTTTAAGTAAAATTCTCTATTAGAGATGTGATAGTCTTTTAATGGAAGTTTTCATACTTACAGTAACAATACAAATTAAAATTTTATAGGTGTAAAGGTAAAATTGTTGCGAGCATCGTAGCAATTTCACCCTTAAACCGTCAATGTTTTTATTGCTTCTAAACTCTAGCTTTGAAAGACAAACTTTTTTGTGTTCCTATTGCTTCTAGGCTTTAACTTTGAAAGATAAACTAAGATTTTAAAGTTGCCTGTAGGGAGGGCTGAATTTATCTGAATTTATTTGTTTGTTGAGACTAAAGTCAATAGGCTGTTGGAGAGGAAGAGGAAACTGTCATAATAAATGCCTTTGGAAAGTCTCTTTGTTGTTAAAAAAGTAGTCTTTACTTACACCCTTTTTGAATTTAATCGTTTTTTCTACTTTTGTCTGGGATCATCCGACTAGCATAATATAACGGAAGAATTCTCTAAAATTTTCATGCAAACCCTTCTTTGTAAGTAAGCTAAATACATAAAAATTTCAAATTTCGAAAAGAAATTTTGCTACTGTCGATTTTTCCTTTTTCTTGTAGTGCGTTTGCAGAAAGTTTTTCAGTAATTTTGCCCACTTCGCTACGCTTACATAACGATGAATTTATTAGTGGTGTCAAATTTGGAAAACCGGGTGGCTATCCGTTAAATGTATGTACCCTGTTGTTGATAGCTGTATACTGTTATTTTTTAACACTTTTTGTTGTAAACTTTTGTTTCCAATTACTTTCATGACTAATAAACTATTGGTTTACCGTTTAAGTTGCATATGAAATGGAATCTATAAGATTTCACAGTTAAAACTGTTAAAGTCTCCTGTTTATTTCTTATTGTTAAGTTCTCTCAGTTATAGTTGATTTCATCTTTTAGGGATTACCTCAATAAAATCGTATCTCAGTCGAATCGTTTTTGGAGAATAGTTAAAAACTGCAATAATTGCTTGTTATGTTCTTTTTGATATTAAGGTAATTTATTCATGGAATTCTTAGTGTGTTTAGAGACATCTGCATATGTCTTGTGCTGCCAAATGAAGTTTTCCTGCATATGAACTGGAATCTTATTTCCAGACTCTATGTTATTCTCTTCTTCCAGGGAACAAACCAATAATGTCGCGGACTGTCTTTTTAAGGTCCTGGTGCTGTAGTTTGCGAAATTCGTTGCGATGCATACAATTGGGTAATTGTATTCCCGAAAAGGTTTTTAGTTTATGAAAATTTGGTTAGCTGTCTCTTGGTGATATAAATTAGTGAATTATTTATATATTCGTTGATGTTTGGTGATTGACGTGTGGATAGTGAGGAAAAGAAGAGGAAGCGAAAGTAAATTTCAAATGCAGTGAGCTTGTTTCACGGAATTGAGCGTTTCTGAAGGCCTGGAAAGGTTTGAAAAAGTTGTTGTCAACTTATTAATGCTTAGATCATTTTGCTTTAGGGACTGTTCGGTGAGGAATTGCTGAAACATCCTTCGGGATTCAAATTACTCAATGAAAAAGTTAGGAAACGTTCCTTCGAATTGGTTGATAAGGTAAAAATTCTTTTGATTATTGTTGGAAATTATGTCTCATATTCAGGGGTTCCCGATGTCATTCAATTATTTCTTGTTATTCTCCTACAGCAATTGTGAAATTCTTGTTTTCCTAATTTTTCGATGGAATTAAGAAATTTTTAGGCAATTAAGGGACTTGGCATTTCTGATAGAATTGAGAAAATTAGTTTCTCTTCTTACTGATGTTATCAGGTTCATGCTTGATAACTGTTACCAGCTTAATCAATTGGTTCGATGACTGCACTACTAGCATCTTTTGGGCGTCTTTGAACAATATTTCAAAATAATATTTGCCTCTTTGGAAAACTTTTTTTGTTATTGATTGGAAAATATACCTATAGATTGTCAATCGCAAGTGTGAAAAGAAAGTTGTTGAAGTTTTTGATGACTTATCAAATGAAATATGTAGCGCTGCAGATTTGGTAAGTCTTGTTTACTCGAGGTTAGATTTTTTTGTACTAAAATTTAATTTGAAAAATTCCAAAATATAATTTGCGAGTAAGAATTTCGTAGTTAAAATGCTAAAGTACTAATTGTATTATTTTTTGACATGCATTAGAATTTTGACTGGTTATGCTTGGTTTAGTTTATACCATGGGTTTTGTGCTCTTTTTGTTGGAATGCATTCTGTTCATATACAGAAATTATATTAAATTACTAATGTCCACTAATCTAATGTCCACAAAATTTACTTGCGCACACGCATATAGGTATTTCAAGCTATTAAAACGGAACTTAGGGACAGTGAAAAGAATAGGAGTCATTGTTATTTATCAACAACATTGCTAACATATTAATTTTACTAGCATAAATTTCTTTCATTTCCACATTTTCAGGCTGAGTGTGTTCGAAATATGCATTCGGCTAAAGAATTCAGCGCAGCAGCGCAAGAAAGCATGAAAGATTTCACTGAACTCGTAGAAAGGTATTATTTAATATACTGCAAAAGGTTTCATTTCCTCTCATTTTTAGGTTTTTCGAATCTTCTCGTCGGTTCTTTTACCTTGAATTACCGTAATTCTAGTTTCATTATTTTCAGTTTAAATACCAGATCTGATTTGTACAAGGCATTGAAAGACTCGTTGGAAGCAGAAAGTAGTTCTTTGACTGACGTTGACAAACGCACAGCTTTGTTATTCCTCGATGATTTCGAACAAGCCGGTGTTAGTCTAACTAAAACTCAGGTAAAGATCCGTCTACATAAAACTCTTTTGAAATGTATATTGCATTCACTTTGAGGTCACTTTAACTATGAAACCGCTCGATTGTATATCCTGTTAACTCGCTTTTTATAGGAAGAAAATTGCAATCTTTGATATGGTAACGTGCTCTGCTGAGTCCATCTTATTGATATGTATGCAATAAAACTTTCCTGAATAGAAGTTTGTAGTTTAAAAGCTTTTGATATATTAATAAGATGGACTCAGTAGTTTAAAAATTTATTTTAGAAATTGAATGGTTTTGGTTTAAATTAGTTTAAAAATTGAGTAATTTGAAAATTCACGTTGAAGTATCACGCTCCAAACAATTTCATTTATCAAATAATAGACAACATATGATATGCTAATGGTTCCGAACCAGTGGTCCAATGTACTAAACTTTTGACCGCAAAGCCTGTTAAAAATTATGCCCCTTCTTTTTTGTGTTATAGTGTTACTTCAAGTTTACTAATATGTTAGAAGTTTTGATTAAATTATATTTTCAAATTAACGGGATTTTTTTATTTTTGAACCTTATGGTCTATGCTGCAAATAAAAACTCGAAGTGGTCCCTAGTCAAGGAAAGGTTCGGAATCATTAATGTATACATTATAATGATTCAATAAATTCTGATTTAGAAATGTGAATATGTGAGGCTTAGCAAGGAGATTTTCATGGTTGGTTCACAATTTGCCCATGGTGCTGAGCTACCCGTTACGGTTGCACCATTTTATAGTAAGATGTATAGAGTGAAGCGGCATCTCTATAGTCCGAATACACTTGCAGTTAACCGCAGCACCAGGCAGTGGTGCTATGCTACCTATTACTCATACAATGAAGAGCAAGTACGGTAATTTTCTCTCTGCATTTTGATTTTTTTCAACTGATATCACGTCGTTCATATTAGTCTCAGTATACTCGTCTCCTGATGGCGCTATAACTGTATGCATTGCATCATCCTAGGTCTCCCTAATTGAAACCTGACGTGCCATATTCCAAACTTTTCCATCCATTCATCTGTTAATTAAATTCTTAGTAGTTTAAATTATTCGGTCCTTAACTGTGACTTTCATGAAGCTGTCTAATTTAAATTTCATTTGTGCGCTGAAATCTTAGATCAAATGTTTTTTGCTTAGTTTGCATTCTGAAGGATGAGGACAAAATAACGAAATTTTGTAGGAGAAACGCTTACGTCATCTGATTACTTGTCGGCATTTGTTGGCTCGACTTACTGGCTACCAATCCTATGCTCATCGTGCTCAACATAATTCATTGCTTGGTTCGTACGAAAACGCTCATGACTTCCTGATTGAAGTCATTAAAGTTAGTTCATCTTATTCACATAATAGTCACATTGAATGCTTGAAAACTGATCACTGGTAAAAGAAAATTGCTGCTGATAAAAAACTGGTATTAGTCGCTTTCACTTCGAATATTTTTCAAATAGTTGTTGAGGATTAGAATTGAGCTAATTTTAGTTTTTAGTTATCTTTTTTTTTCGCCTCTCTCAAAGACTTGCTACATTTATTTAATTAACTATGTACTGTTTAACTATGTATGTCAAAGCATTTATTTGTTTGTACTGCAGTCATGTCAATCAGCGGCTGAACAGGAGCTAGCCGTGTTGGCTGATGTTTTAGCTCAGGTTGAATCGAAGCGAGAACATCTGTGCGAATCTGATTTAACATATCTTTGTATGCTGTATCGTGAGAATGCTTTTGGTCAGTTACAGCATCTTTCCAGGTAATACTGAATCCGAAAACATTTTGTCGTTTTACTTGCTTTTGACCATGATGGGGTAAAATAGGTAGATAAAAGGTAGAATCATCCTAAATTATCCAGATGACTCATAAGGCATATAACCGATACAACGGATCTGTGTAAACAATTTGTTGGAATTATGCAGAACCTAGTTCCAATAGTATATTTTATTTACTTTAAATGTTTCTCAGTTATTGCTTTCTTTAATTTCAGATATTTTTCGTTTAACAATCTCCTAAGAGGATTCGAATTGATTACAGAACGACTGTACAACGTTTCTTTTTCAGTTATGACGCCTGTTGCCGGGGAAATTTGGCCAGGAAACGTTATTAAGATTGTTAGTTTTTTTATCATTGCTTACGCTTCTATTTTTTGGTGTTATAAATTCATAAATATAGTGCAGATTTTTTAAAATTGTGTCCTGTTTTTTTTTTTCTTCACAAATCATAAAGATATGTGGTTCATTCAAGAATTCAAGAATGTTGACTGCCTGTTTGAGTAGGGCTGTTGTTTGAACAATTTAAATCATTTACAAAGTAATAAGGATTTCAGACGACATTTTTTGTTATAGGATGTTTTTCAAGACAAAAGCAAGTTTTTGGGAACAATTTATATCGATATTCAAGATCGACAAACGAAAACATCAGGCGACTGTCATTTCACTGTTCGTTGCTCCAAGCAGGTTTTCTTTTTTGACCAATTAAAAGGATGCAAATTTCTTCGTTATACTAATGTGGTTCAGAAACAAGTTTTCCATAATGAAAGGTCATAAATATCCTGTCGAACACTTTGTTTGTTATCATGAGAAAGTAGCTTCAGAGTTTGATGAAATTATGAACCTGTTTCGGAAATCCATTACGCAGTTGTATCTGACATGTAAATGCCTTGTGAAAAACTTTATATATAGCGACTGAACTTTGGTTACTATTTCTATCAGAGTGTATATGATTCAGTTAGATGATGGTTCATATCAAACACCAATCGTTGTTTTATCGTTGTCGTTAACGAAAGGATTGGAGAACATCGATAATGTTTTTTTGGTCCCCCATCAAGCTGAAAATTTTTTCCACGAAATGGGTCATGCAATGCATTCAATGCTTGCGCGCACTCAGTACCAACATGTTGCCGGTGATTCCGTTTTTATCATTTATAATAAAGTATTTTAATGAAATATGCAGAAGTCGCTTCCTTTATTATGTACAGATTTTAGTTTGCATGATTTTAAATTCATTTTCACTTCTCAGTTTAGTGCAAAAATCTTCCAGGAACTCGTTGTTCAACTGATATGGCGGAAATCCCGTCCAATCTGATGGAATATTTCTTTAATAACATTGATATTTTGCGCGAAATAGCGAAAGATAATCACGGACGTCCAATAAGTGTCGAAGATGCTGCTTCTCTCATAACATCACGATTCGCTTTCACATCTCTGGAAATGTTACAGCAGGTTTCTTCATTTCGAAGTTTTCTACCTAAGGATTAGGCGCTCGAAACTATAGCTAGTTTATCCATTTCACAGTGTATTTTTCTTGTTCCAGGCTGTGTACAGTCTTTTTGACCTTGAGGCCCATGGTGGCAATGCGGAAGGTATAATGAATGGTCGAGTTTCAACAGCCGATTTATATGCATCAATTTGGTCGGTGGTTTTTCCAAATGTCAAGAAAGAAACAGGTTCCGCATGGCACCACCGGTAAACCAGTTTTCTTGAATTTTCGCTTCGAATGAAGTTTTTGAGATCAGAATGAAAGCGAGAAGAGATTTGTAATTCGTCACTGCTTTCAGATTTGCACATCTGGTACCATATGGTGCGAAGTACTATTCCTATCTGGTAGCAAGAGCTACGGCTTCGTTGATTTGGAATACTAGATTTCGTGATTGTCCATTTTCCAGGGAGAACGGCCTTGCGTGGGCAAAGGTTAATGTTAGGCGAATTTTTGCATTTGTCCTGCGAATTTTCATATTTATTGAATCAAGACCTGTGTTGATAAAGAATATTGTAATTTGAGATTAATATATTGAACATCACTTTAGAGCTTGCTAGGCTGTGTTTTTATCGGACAATTTATCTATTTTCAACAAATAATCAGTTTTATGGGAGTTTTGCAAAAAATTTTAATTAATCTAACTTTATTGTTTCTCGTAGGTGTTATCAAAAGGTGGCTCGTTGCCCTCTGCCGAGTTGTTGAATTCGGCTCTTGGCTACTGGCCGACAGTGCAGAATTTAGCGATGGCGCTGAAGGAGGAAGCTGACCAAACTTGCCAGCGTTCAGCCGTCAGTATATAGAGGCTTTACAAATGTTGAATCGGTAAATAATCTTCATCAAGAAATCATATCCTGACTAGAGTGTTGCTTTCAGTCTTCATCTCCCTTATTTAAGCACGCTTTTACTCTGGCTATTTTTATCTTTTCTCTCATTTCGTTTCTTTTTCGCTTTATGGAAAAAATGTGGGTTTCAGGGGTATTTCTTTCTGTCTGTATGCTATCCCTCTTTCCAGACGATTAATACACGATCATCTTGACATGAAAATTTGACTCATATACTTTTTTACGAAGGTTTCTTTAAAAAAATTTACATTATAGTAGCTTCTTTTGTCACTTAATTTCTCTTCCTAATTTTCTTTGGAAAATCCGTTTTTTTCACTAGTTTTACTGGTTACCTTTTGTTCATTTGTCATTAATCCGGTCTACATAGCTTACTATTAGGATAGTCCGACCCGTTAATCACTGTGACGGTGACATTGCCCGGCAACAGTTGTCAGTGATCATATAACGCCGTCTGATCCAGCCTGCTCATTAAGTCATCTGATCTTTATCTACCGATACTCATCATTGTCTTTACGACTTGTTCAAAGTTTCTGCAAGTTATTTCGATTATGCCTCAGTAGCAATCGACGAATTGCTGTTTTCATTTTCCCTTGAAATATGTACTCTTAGGACGGAGTTGACTTTTTTCATTAAAAAAGTATTTTCATCCATGTTTTGACTAGTTTCATTGTGTTTCTGTTGCATTTCTCCGCTATTCCCCATTATCATCCTTTTTTAATACCAATTACATTTCATGATCTCATCAAATCATTTCTTTGATTTACTAGAAGTGATCATGTAAAGACCTATTAGTGTATATTTGAAGTATACTGATTTCATTGCAATAGAATTTGTTGTCCAGAATCTATTATACGTTTTTCATTCAGGATTCAGGTTCATAACAGCAGGTTCAGATTACGTGTAACCAAGTTTTTGGCCTGGCGAGCAGCGCTTTTTGATTCTGTCTGAAAAATTCTTCACTCGCTATATTTATTGTGTTTCAGTTTTACACAGTACTGTTGTTTTTAAAGATTTTACATTTTAGAATTTTGCAGGATGCGTGGATTTTTACCTAAACTCATCGCTCATTTATTTTAATTAGTTTTTCTTTTCAAATGGAATTCAAAAGGATTGAAGTAGGGATGTTCGCTTTCAATGTTGGAATTGGTTCTGCCTTGTATTACTTATGAATCGTACGTAAATATGTCATTAGTTTCATGCATTTCGAATAAAATCCATTAGGATAAGTCCATCGTTTACGATACATGATTTGATGAAATCTGAAAAAGGGCATAAGGGGTAATACATTTCTGTTTTGATGCTGTCGTATTATGTTTTTTCTTTCTTTTTTAAATTCATTTTAAAGGATTGTTGTTTTCTTGATTATACTATATCTGTGAAACAGTGTTTACGATGCATGTTATCTATGAAGCTGTTTTTTATAATGCATGATCTGATACGATGCAACTGTCAATTCTATTTTTATAAATGCAGTAAGCTCAAAATGCTAAAAATTTTTTGTAAGCTGCATAAATGAAAAACAAAGTTCAATCACAGATAGTTGCCACATACATTATTAGGTATTATAAACTTTCGTCCTTATTTACATCTGGTAAACTCTCGTCTTTATTTTCTAACTTCTGAAACAGTAAATTGCAAGTTTTTTTGCAGATGATTCATTTTCTCAAAATTTAAATAGATTTTTTATTCCAATTTCTCCATTATATCTGGTTTTACCTCACAGTTATGTTTTGTTCTTTTTTCTATTCTCCGATTGCACTCATGAGCTGACATCATTTATATGCTTTTTCTGTTTAAAAAAAAAATGAAATTTCTTACAAAAAAAAAAACGAGTCTCATTCATAAGATCATGAATTGTGTACCACCAGTGATAGTGTCGGATTGATTCATATTTGCATATTAATACCAAATTTTGATGTAACTTCGGGTGTTTTTCTTCAATGAAAGCTTAATTCTTCGTTTGGAGAGTATATTTCTGCATCATCTTACTTAAACCCAATAATCATCCCGTTCATGTTATGTAAGACATGCATTCCTCTTAAATTTGATCTTCTGGCATCTTAAGTTTAATCATCTAACCTATAATGTTCTAAAAAAAAAAAGAAGCCAATTTCATCCGGTACATGCGTAATCAGAGCTGATCTCTTATCATATCAATCAAATTTACAAATACATTGGAACATATAAAATCTATTATTCTGTATATTGCAGTAGATTAAGCATTTCTTTATGATAAGATAAGCTTATATTCTTGTCCTCTTGCATTTCTTATTTTGCAGTGCTCATCTTTTCCATTTTGTTAATTTGGGAGATGAAGTCATTCAATGGAAGAGGTTTTTGTCACATTTTAATGTTAAGAGATAGTGTACGAGCCAGTTAATCAATCATCAAAACAATAATTATATTGTTTTATGACATCTTCCGCTATCTATGGATGATTAAGGGAGATAGTTCAGGTTGCTATCCATCCCTCAAATTATTTCATTTAATTCATCTGACTCATTATTTTGTTAGATTTTCACATTTTAAATGACTAAGAAATACGATTGCTTTTCAACAATTTAACTTCAATCATTTTGGATAAATGTTTGGTTTATAATCTAATAGTGCATATTGAGGTTAGCACATTTTATCAGTTTATTGATTTATTTACCTATTTGGAAATTATGCAAAAAAAGTGGAGCATAGTAATGTATGGGAGGTTAATTACGACATTTCCATCTTTCCTGCAAAGTTGATTTAATCCTGTTGTTGATAGTGGCAAGGATTTATGATTTCTTCAGGAAATTTTTATCAAAGTGAGTAATTAACGATTCCGAATGACATAGAGATTACATGAAAATCATTACGAGTAATTTTGTCATCATCGTGTGATAAATTGGACAACAAGTGGAGAATCGAATAATAAAGAATAGTTATTTCCGATCCACTCTGTATGGACAAGAACAATAATGTATGTCCGGTCCTGGAATACCTGGTGAACCTGCCTAAAATAAATAAATTGGCTCATTTTGTAACTGACATTCTTTTGACAAGTGCTTCTGTTGAAATTAACTTCTTGCAGTCGTCCATAGGAACTTTTCAGGTTGATGACGCGTATTGGGAAAATTTATCCTATTGTATTGTATTCAAGTTTGCTCACCTGTCCTGGACGTCCATCTTTTCCAGGTTTACCATTACGGCCGGTTCGCCCAGCTTTACCTGGTTCTCCAGGTTTACCATCCGCTCCACATTTGCCTTTTGTTCCTGGCTGTCCAGGTAGACCAGGAGCACCAGTTTGTCCTTTTGGACCAGCTATACTGATACTCCTTTTTCCATTGCTTCCGTTCAACCCTGGTTTACCGGGAATTCCATTAGCTCCTGGTTCTCCGAGCTTACCAGGTGGCCCATGTGGTCCTCTCAATCCTGGCCTTCCCGGTTTTCCCATCGACCCTTTTCTCCCGGTCGGTCCCTGATCACCTTTGATTCCATCCGATCCTGGTAGTCCAGGAGGTCCAGGAGGACAAATGATACAGCCACCCAGAATGTTATACGTGGCAAGAAGCGCTACACCAGCTATCCCCTTAGAACCATCATTTCCAGGTTCTCCATCTAACCCCTTTTCTCCTTTGTCTCCCCTTGGTCCTGGTGGACCCCGTGGACAGTTATTTGGCTTGTCACAGCCTGAAATATTGATAATAAGGTTAACTTGTTGGGACATGCAAACTTCACAGTGATTCGAACGATTTGAAATCTTAAAAATCATCCAAGCAGAAAAAAGCGGAGGAAACATACAGCATCTCTGAAGTTGTCGTTTTATTCTTTTCAAAAAAGTACTGCTGAAACTAGGGGAGAGAAAAATTTTTCTAGTTGGCTGGGAATGAAGTTGCACAATTTTCCTCCACGTATCATTCACTACTGCCTGAAATTCTTTTTTCTGTAATATGGAACCTAAGAACTCTATCAAAATGATCAATATGCAGAAAAATATCTTTCTGAAATTCTTATCTAGCCTAAAAGTCTATTACAGGAATCATCAAGATTAAGGTACCATAGACTTAAATTACCAATGATTAAGGTGTCGCAAACTTTTGAAATATTTTCATCTTACACATGAAATGAAATCTGGGTCTACGAGATTGTATCGTAACAAAAGATTATCAAAATATGAGATATTCTATGAACAGTAGGATGCACAACAGGTATTCGTTTTATTCTCAAATTATCTGGAAAAGTTGCTAATCCGATTATTATTGCTTTGAAAGAATGAGGATCAATCCATTTCATTTCTAATCCTTGTTGTCTAATCCCGAATAGAATTTTTGTTTCATTCAAATAACCATAGAATATCATAATTACATTAAATTCTTTCATTTCGTCCATGATATCATCGTACAAATTATTGATATCATTGAAAATCACACCAATTACTATCAATGATACTGTTATCACACTGATACTAAGCCCAATTGTAAGCGCTATAGCAATGCGAATACCACCCATTCTCCTGAAATCTTCAACAGAAAATGATTTTTCTTCAAATTTCTATAACATCAATTGAAACGAAAGAACAAGATCTTCAGAGTTATTGATATCGAAGTGCTAACACATTAGAAGTCATGGTTTTCTCATAAAAGCTGACCTGGACAATATCATCGATATGCGGAAGTGGTGGTAATTGCGGAATAGTACCGAGCCTCAGCGGAACACATTCTCGTAAGCATCAAGCAAGCCAAGTCGATGATAATATAATTATCCGGTCAGGTTAAGATGATTTAGTCCAAATCAACAATAACCTAACCAATAAATGAATTAAATGAGATAATTCAACGACTAGCAATGTGAAATTTCATCTAGGAGACGCGCATATGTCATATCTGTATGATGCGACATCTAGAATTTCGCATTTTTCTGTTTCTTTTTTCTTTTTATTTAACAAATAAAAAGATAGGAAGGAAATGTAAAATTCTGACAGAATGATATAAGTAAATGCTAAAAGATAAAAGGATGTTAAATAAGACTAGAAATTAGTAATGAGTATAGATGTGATGAAAATTTGATGTGACAAATTTTTATCATTGCTATGATACTTCATTCACTTGCACATTATTTAAAAATTATGTCTAATTATCTATCTCTTTAAGATTGTCTCATTCATTTACTGACAAATTTTTATTAATTTCCAAACTTTTCAACAATAAAATGTGTAAGATTTAGAGGTTATACAATTAAAGCAAATGTTACTTCACGATGTCACAATGTCACTTTTCTATTTTCAAATAAATTTTAATCAAAGGAGAATTGAAATGAAACTAAATTTTAGAAGCTCAAATTATTTCATGTCGCTTGCCGCATATAGTTTTATCATTAAGTAAGTAAAAAGTAAGCTACAAAAAGGTAAATGGAAATTTGACGACAAAATTTTAATTCCACTACTGATGGTTATTTTCTTTAGCACTGATAAGTGAAGCGCAAAAATACAATTTTATCTAAAACAAAATGTTTATATCAGATAAGAAATGATAGTATTTTATCTAGTTTTGATTTTTATTACTAACTTCATTAATGGGAAAAAAAGAATTGTTGGAGAAAAATTTACCATTTTAAAATTATTGCTACAAGTTTACACTCGAATTACAATTTCTTCACTTTTTTTTTGTTTAACTAAACAATTTTTCTATGATTTTTGATTTCGAGCTTATCATCTTTATTCATATTCATTTCAATATACAGATAATTGATAGCTTCCTTATCAACTCAAGTTTTCACTTCACTTCTCGTTTACTTTTGTTGCACAACTAATCCAGCTAGCTAACTATCATTTCTCGAGATTCACGAGATATGTCACTATTAACTAAGCATTCCTACAAATCTTCGCCATATCCAAACTTTCTGTTTTCAGGAAATCAATAACTTTTAAATTACATCCATCTAAGTAGCATAAATTGGGACAGATAGTTTAAAAGTAAACAGATTAGTTAGTTTAAAAGCTTTTTTTTTGCTCTAAAAGAAATTATTAAAATGAATTTTATATTTGCTAAAGTTTCACAGGCTTATTTTCAAGCTAACAGTATTTATCTTCTCATATACATATCACCATCAATTCTGATTCTCGCATAATCGCTGGTTGCAATAAATCACATCTGTGACTTTTCGAGAATTCGAGAATCGAAAAGATTTATCACAGTGCAAATTTTCTTCCTTATTGTTTCGTTTAATCAATTAATGCAATTACTTTTATATATTGATACTATGACCTTTTATCGTCTATTTTACTTGAAGTTTGATGGTCAGAATATTCTCAGGATTATAATAATTCATCAAAACATTTTTAACTTTTCATAAATGCAAATTTTAAATGATGTCTTATCTATATGCATATGTTCTAAATTATCTTCTTATCCTAGTTATGAAAAAAAACTATCATCAAGAAAATTGTATGTTTATGATAACAAATTAAATTAGCTTAAGCTGTTTACAGTCTTATTAACAATTGGTTGTTATTTATTTTTAAAAAACTTTTCAGGCTTATACTATTAAATAAACCACAAAAGTAATGCAATAATAAGAATGAGATAAGCGGATTATTTGAGAAATTGAATGAGAATAATCAAATTCAAATTCATTTGGTGACAATCTTTTTTTTTGCTTGATCTTTCCAACCTAGAAAATAAAGTTATTTTAGATTAAAAAAAATGCCTTATACTCTTATAGGAAATATGTGAAAATAAAATTTAGCCAATAATGTGATATTTTGATAAGAAGAAGGAAATGAATGGTGACCAGGTAAGTTTGAAGGTGTAGTAGTGATAATGAATGGTTGTGATTGTATTTGTGAACGGGTAGCAATATTACAGAAGGTATCATTTCTCAACTTTTTTTTTTTTGAAAAGTTAAACAAGATATTGAACAGCTTTCCATTCCTTTAATTTATCAGAAAAGTTAAATTAAACTACACAAAGAATATCTATCATCTTAGGAAGAGTAACACTGATAGTATTAAAGCATGCTCACTCTCTAATTACCACTATTATCGTCTTCAACTCTCTTCTTCAATTCTTTTCTTTTCTAAAAATGAAATTCCGCCTCTCTATCAACCATTTTTTCCCACTTTTTTTTCCTTGTTTGCAAACCGGATTTCCTGATATATAAATTACGTGAAAACGTAAAATGCTTCCTCTTCTTCAGTAATTGTCTCTGGAAATAAACACTGATAAATTTCTAATTCCTTATCACCAAAACATTTAAATTGATGTCCTCAAATAGGTATAAATCAGAATTTAAAAATGGTCATTACAACTACCTAATATGAGTAACCTGCTAGGTAATTAATTAAGAATTTTGTTTTCACAGCAAAACATTAGTAAAACAGTTCGGGATTTATCATCATCATTGTCATCACTATCAACATCAACATTGGTGACCACTGTCAACATCATCATCATCATCATCATCATCATCATCATCATCATCATCATCATCATCATTATTGTCACGTGAAGGCAGCATCAGTAAATGACAGAGATAGTGAAAAGAGTGATAAGGCACATGATTCTCATTCTTCGTTCTATGATCGAAGCTTCTTGTATTCTCCATGTCGTGGGCATGGACAATAATGAGCATCTGGTCCTGGTATACCTGGACTACCTGGCTGAAATGCTTATCACTGATTATTTTCAGCTCTTACGGCTTTTAGCTCTTTATGTTAAATAACATACCTTTCCGGCTTTACCATCTTTGCCAGGTTTTCCATCTTTTCCAGCTGCACCTTGTGGTCCCTGTTCACCAGATTCTCCATCACTTCCTTTTGCACCATTTTTTCCAGCTTCACCAGCTGAACCTGGTGGTCCTTTAGGACCTTTTGGTCCAACTGGCCCAACACCTCGCTTACCATCTTTCCCAGGTTTACCAGGTTTACCAGGAGGACCATCTGGTCCTTGATCACCTGGTACACCTGGTGGTCCAGCTTTTCCAGGTGGTCCAGGTTTGCCATCTGGTCCTCTTCTTGCGCAATCACCTGGCAAACCAATACCACCCTCAAGACCAGGTTTACCAGGTGGTCCTGGTGGTCCTGCTGGACATTCAATGCAACCACCAGGAATATGGAAGGTAGCTAAAAGTGCAACACCATTTACACCTGGACGTCCATCATCACCAGCTGGTCCATCAAGACCTTTCAATCCTGGATCACCTTTAGGACCAGGTGGACCTCTTGGGCATTGACTATATGATGCGCTACATTCTGAAATACATATCCAATGTTTTAAAGAAATATTTGATATTTTTTATCGAATTTTCCTCACATTCACTCTCTTATTACTTAGAAAATGAAAATAGCAAATCTGTTTTTGATTGATTCTTTTTGGGAATCGATTTTTTTTTTTTTTAAATGAAACTAACGGCAATGAGATGGAACTTGTCGTTTGGCTCTCAAAGCAAGACTCTCAAAACCACGGTTATATCCGTTTCCATTCAGGAACTCATTTGACCGGGCGGATAGGATTTTACTCCATGTATCATCTGCTATGTCCTGTTAATAGAAAATCCAATGATTACCTGTTCTCTCGAGATAATCAATCGAGATAAATAAATAAAATAATAGATTGAACAAAGCCATATTCAACTTAAGGTTTTCGTTTCTGATAACATTCCTCATACGCATATCTCTCCATTCACATTCATTTCTATGTATAAAAAGTACCATTCTCATGTAAATGATAGCATTATCCCCATTTCAGGTAAATGATATTATCACCCTCATTCCAGGTAAATGATAGTATCTTCCCCATTTCAGGTAAATGATATTATCATCCTCACTTCAGGTAAATGATAGCATCGATCTCATTCCAGGTAAACTTCCATTAAACTACAAATTGAATGATACCTTGAAATCAGTCAATTCAACGATAAGTCCACTGTACAAATCATTGATATCATTGAAGAGGAAAACTACAGCGATCACGGATATACCCGTGATAAATGCACTAGCGGTCATTCCAACCGCTATAAGTAATTTTTCTGCCATCGTTATGCAAATTTTACAGTTGGTGTTGATGGCAGGATTATTTTTTTAAACACCTGAAATACATCTTTCCTTTGTTTACTTCACTTCAATGACAAGTTATGACATCTTTCAGTTAGTCAATAGATGATGGCTTTTCATTTATGATTAAGAAATTTAGAGAAAGATGAAATCCTTAAATTCCAATTCAATAATGGAATCATTAATAATTCTATCATCGATGACAATAAAATTGGAAATTAAATCGATCGTATTTCAATCATTTGCATTGCAAAGTACTTTTAGAATAAAAGAAGCATCACATTAGGCTAACTATTCAAGGTAATTAGCCGTGATCTTGAAATTTGACACTGGAAAACAACAATTGGAAATGATTAGTTTATGATAGAAGGACACTTAGGACATGTATATCACATCATTTAAATAAAACTCAATGTAATGGATGAAGAACGAAGTGATGCTTAATGAAATAATTTTAATTTAAAAAAAGGAAAAAAAAGCCGAATAAAGGATACATTAAAAAGTTTGTAAAAACTCTTAGTATTTGAAAGGATCAATAATTAAAATATATTAATATTTTACTTAAATTATTATTAAAATATTAAATATAATTTTAAAAAATTTGAAATGAATAATGCATGATGGATAATCTAAATTTAAAAACTTACCGGAAGAATTATTTTGGTCAAAGAAACAAATATTTTCTTCTCATTAATTATCATCATTTTCGAGGTTATTTCTTCTTTTGTCTATTTTTCCATCTTTGACCAAAATGATTTCCTTTCTTTCATTTTTTTTTTTGTCGATTAAAAAAAGAATGTAAAAATATGTATTCGGTAACTGGAAATGTAAAATATCATGAATGTATGTTGACATATTCCGCTAATTTCTTTTCATCCATCCACCACTAATTTAAAGTTAAAAAAAAAAAAGCTTCCGGAATTTTTTGATGAAAATGTCCTCATTCATTTAACTGTTCGATTAATTGTTTGATTCATATAGGAAGTAATACACACACACACACACACACATACAAAGTACAAATTGACATTTTTTTATTTTTATTTTTATTTTTTTAACAAATAAGCATCAAAATTTGGCTGAAAAAATCTTTTTTCTTGTATTTTTAATTTTTTTTTTAGAAATTTGAAATAAAATTTTTAAAAAATTTATCAAGTTAATTCATTTCCTATCAATTAACATTTTGTTAATTAGATGGTGGAAATATTGCATGATGTATATTTTAACTAAATGAAATCATATAGCATCAGGATTTACAAATAACAGTTGGAAAATTAATGGGATAGCTAGATTGAAGAAATCTCGGGAGTAAGAGTAATGCAAAAGATTAGCATATGTTATGATATATTCTGGTGTGGATGAAAAATATCAAATGATATGAGAATATATTAAAAAAAAAAAATTATGACAGCAAACGGAGTACTATCCATTCAGCTAACAAACTGAAGAGGAAAACGTTTCTTAAGAGGAGAAGTTTTTTCCGTCTTCGGTCAACAGGTTCTTTTGTTTTTACAATTAAAGGAAAAAAAAAATTCGTTCGAATGCTTGAAAGGTCATTCCTGATTGATTTCTTTCTTTATTCAAAATTCCTGTTTTTTTTCTCCCTCCCAAAATATGTTAACAAATGCTCATACCACTATTATAATTTGATGATAATGAGCTTCATTTGTTGTATTTTCAATATATATCAAACATGTTTTTCCATATTGTGTGACACTTGTCATCAGTAGATGTCATCGTTTGAAATTGTGGAAATAATGATTGGAATGAGTAATTAAAATGAAAATTGTTGTGTAAAGTTAGAAAGTTATTTGCAAGTAAATGAGTAAGTGCAAAAAAAAAGGATTGCAAGAATTGAAATTGCAATACTAATACAATTAACCTTTCCAGAAAAATCATTTTTTGTTTTCGTAGATTACGATAATGTAATAATGATAGTTCATTTGATGTACAAATACATGATTAATTAATTTAGCAAATGATCATTTTTCATTTATCAAATGTATTTTATTTGATTTAATTATTATATTTGACATAGATTTAAATTAAAATATAAATTTAACAAATAATAAAACAACAATATGAAAAGTATTGTTGTTTTATTTAAAATTGATTTACTAGTAATTCTATCCTTCATTGAGCAATTTATTGTATAATTTTTTGAACTACAAATAGGTGCTATTTTACCACAATTATTTCGTTTACCTAATTGCTGTGACAAACATTCACAACCAATGATAACATCTTTTAAGCATAAATTTTTTGAACCATCAAGAAGATATTGAGGGAAATTTACAAATACTTCTATAAGTATCGTATTATTTAAATGTTTCCAAAAATCAAATACATTTAGAAAATTTGATTTTTCGGCATGTAACATATTCACAGAGCTATTATTGAATGCATGTAATTCCATATCATTGATATTACAATGTTCAAGAATAAAGGTAGAAAGTTGAAAATTAGCAAAACTTTCACTTACTAATAATTCAATTTGGGTTGAAATTAATTCAATTTTTTCCATTTTAAGCCCATAAAAAGCTTTTCTTTCAATGCTTACAATTTTTGTATGAAAAATTTCAAAAATTTTCAAATTTTTAGGCATTTTTGTAATTCTTAAAGCATCAATTCGGAAAATATGAAGTGATAAGATTTGATCATTGTTAGCCAAATTAATATCTAAACTATCACAATCACCAATAATTAAAATTGTCGAATTAATATCCGGAATATGAGTAAATTTTGAATTTATACAAAAACATTTGGCAAGAAAATGATACAATTTACAAAAGATTCCATTAGAGATCCATTCCGGTGGTTCATGACATATTTCCTGTTTTGAACACTGATTAGCATGAAAATACCAGGGTAAATTTAATGATACATGTTTGTCAAGAAGCAAACTGTTTGTATCACATTGCATCACATTACAATCGAATAAATTATTTTGAGCATGAAAATAGATTGGTCGAAAATTCCGGAATATACTATCCACTGTACCGGAGAGTATTTCTGTTTCGGTTATGGTTAATTTCTTGATCTATAATAAATGGTTTTCATTTAAATATCCAATGGTTTGAAAGTTTTTGTTAAGAATCTAACAAATAAGTTGAATCATTCAATTTTCAAAATAGTTATCAAATGCTAGAATCCTAAATTAATAAACAAACGTTAAAACCCTAAATTAATAATTATTGATAAGAAACGAAACATGCAAAAATTAGTGTAAAGGATTTATCACTTTTTTTAGCTGAAAACTTGGAGTAATATCAGAGTACCACAAAAATAATAGAAGATTTGTATTGCGCTAATTTATTTCAAATGAATTCTTCAAATTTAAAATTCAAATTTTAAATTTTACTAATAAAATTAAGAATTTGTACTAAAATAGGAATGTAAACAAATTTTTCACCTTGGCATTTGAGAATGATTGTTCTTCACATCGATAAATTTTTGTTTTCACTAAAATCAAGTTATTGGCTTCTAATTTGGCAAAACTTTGCTTCATAATATTTGTTATATTACAGCGAGAAAAACGAAGCGTTTGAACTTTGGCCCCTTGAAAAACCATTCTATCTATAAGGTTAATATTGCATTTTTGCCATGAAAACAAATTCACTGATAATGCAGCAAAAGAAGCCACAGATAATTTATCAATTTGTGTTCGATCGATACGAATCACATTTGATTGAAATCCTCGGAAAGCATCCTTCTGAATCACATCTATTCGACATCGTGAAATTTTCATAATTTTAAATTTCTCCAAATTTAAGAAAGCTTTAGCGGTAATTCTATTGATAATTGTTTCTACAAGTTCCAATTTTTGAGTTATTGCTTCCATAGTATTTTCTGTTTCAATTTCCCATTGCGCTTCTGTTGGGGCGTTTTTGTCCATAAATTTAATTGCTGCTATCTTTTTTAGCGTACTATTTGAAATACTCAAAATTTTCGCATTATGAAATGCTTTCATAGCTATTAGCTCGATGATAGAATTCCTGATTGCGAAACGGCCAATTTTTTGATGAAAATTTCGAAATCCAATAATTTTTTTATTTAAATTCCAGATGGAATTAATTAACTGAATGCTTGCAGCTTTTATGCCTACAAAGCAATCAGGTGGAGCGATCAGGTGTGCATCTTCAAAGATTACATCATTTATTGTTGAATTCCGGAATATAGCACTTCCAGATAATTCTATGGTAATATTTCCACGCGCAAAAAAATGTTGAATTTGATGCATTGAACCTGTAATTATCACTTTTGTTTATCTTTATCAATAATAGACATTGATAAATTAATTACTTCATATCCGAACTGTTTCATTGTCTCTCTTTTATCTTTTTTTCATTCTCGACAAACAAGTATTAATAATTTTTTGAGGAAAAAAATTTTCCTTTCTTCTTACAATCTTTTATGCTTTGTATAAATCAATTTATCAGCGCATTTGTTTCTATTTTTCTCTGAATTTTGCTGAATTCACATAAAATTATTTCTGAATTTATCATTTTAATTTGGGATTTCTCGAAATTTACTTAAAATTTGTTTTCCGGAATAGCATCGAATAGTAATATGATAATTATCACTATTCATACCTATTATTAACGTTTACTATAATCATGTGCAATTTATTCAACTAACCAAAAGCGCCATGTTCAACATATCGTATAAGACAATCTCGAAAATATATGTAATCAATATTTGTAAGACCACTAAATGCTTCGGTAGCTAATATCTCGATAGTAGTATTCCGAAACCAAATATGCTTAACATTGGTTAATTCTGAGAATGCATTTGATGGTAAATAGCCAATAGTCGTTGCTTGTACAAATAACTTTTCCGGTGCTTTTCGAATTCCACGAAATGTCCACGGAAATATTTTTAAATTCTTTACATCAATAATCTAAAAATTTACATCAAATTTCAATTGTAAAATCTAATAAATTTCTCGAATATTTTCAAAATTTGAATTATTTCTTATAATTAAAGTGTTGGGAGTATCATTCATTCCTTTAACCCATCATAAAATACAAAAAAGGTCATTTTTGTATTTTATGGTCATTGAAGTTTAAAGGTCATCAAAGTTACTCATTGATGACCAATCGTGAACAATAAATAGAGAATTATCATTATGATACTATCATAAAATGTAATCACAACGAGATTAATCCAAAAGATTAACTCTAAAAATTAAATCTGTTTGCATAATTTTCAAATACATTGCTATCAATTGATACTAAAATATGATCATAGCCAAGGATAGGATATGAATTATGCTCTTTCTTGGCTACTATCCAATCATTTTAACATTTCTTATTAAATATTCTTTCACTCATTCTTATTTTAATTATTTTTGTTAATCAAAAATGTAAAGATCAATCACATTAATATAATTAAAGATTATAATTCAGAATGATAACAATTTCTTGCAACACATCAAGAAATAACTGTTCAGAATCATTCTTTTGTTGGCTAAGATATTTAGGAAACCTGAATGATCATCCTAATTTACATTTTCCTAATGAAATTATTATTTTATTCAAATGAACCTTAAATGCGCTTTGAATGATAGTATTATTGAAGGTGTCATTTGGTATTATCACTTGCTTACATGAATGTATCACCAATGAATCAATAAATTCTATTTTTCCGAAATGAGATAATCGGAATTTTTCGGAATGTATTCTACCAAATGAATCCTCACATCTGCAATTTATCCTTTTGATAATCCTTTGAATGTTATCTGTTAGATACGTTTGAAAGTCATTTCATTGCACTAATAGTCTTTTTTTTTTTAAGTTCACTTCGTATTTTGAAATTTTTGTTTAATTAGAAAATTTTTTTTTCTCTGTAAGTTCAAAAAAGATTTTCATTTTCATATAAATTTAGGAAAAGTTTTACTTACAATTTCTTTTAACCAATGTAAAGCAAAATTAACACATTGAAGTTTTTATTTCTTAATTTTAAAAGCATATCAAAGTGCTTATTTACATATCAAATTGACTATTTTACATTTCAAACTGATTATTTGAAATGCTCATTTTAAGCTTATTTAAGAAAAACAAAAAAAAAATACAAATTAGATTTCATAGCAATTTATGCTAATAGCACTTTTAACACTTCCTTCATGTTGTATACGAACAAAAAAAAAAAAAAAAAAAGAAAAAAAACCGCAAACTAAAGCTATGATTTTATAAAAAAGTTTTAAACGAGTTAAGATTGAAACGTGAAATTGAAGGAAGTTGAAAAAAAATAAATCTTTTTTTTTCAATGATCAAATTTGAAGTATTTCATCATTTTCAAAATGTCGCATTATTTGTCACCATAAAAAAAAAACAATGGTTACAAAAAAAAGAAAAAATTCACGAAGAATTTGTAATTTAATTTTGAATGAAATTAAATTACAAATTCTTTGCGAATATTTTCAAAAATTCATCTTATTCAATCAAAATTGAATGCATCCTGGCAATACATATTACCATAATTGGGCGGTATCGTATTTGATTTTATACCGTAACTACTCGTCTTGACGCAAATAACATCTCGAATGAAAATAGAATATCAAAAAGGAATAGAATCCTTTCCATATCTCTTTCATTCTCAAAAATGAAAGAAAAAAAAAAGATTGTGAAATCTATCAAACTTTTTCCGGTAATCCATCCGTTTATGGTAATTGTAACCGTATTTTTGCAATTTTAGCAATTAGCTAACATTCTAAAACTGGATGCTTTTTTTTGGCATAGGTAACTTTTGTTATGAAAATTTACGGAAATTCCCTGCTAAACTGAATTATCATTCGATCTCGCAAGCTTACAAATTCACTCAAACTATCTTCCGGAATAATTTCCAGAATAGTCATAAAATATGAAATTATGCTTTATCTAACAGTAAATATAGTAAAATATCTTTTAAACACTACCGGATACGGTCGATTTTTTGTAAGAAAAATTTGGGAAGTTTTCAGCTTCCAATGAAATAGGCTATTTTTAGGGTAGGATCATTTGATAATTTCATTAAAATTTATTAATTTCAATTTGAATATTAAAATGAAAAGTTTCAATAAATTTCCTTTTTTAGTCGTTTATAAATTAAAATATAATTATTCGCATCGATTTTTTTGCAAAAAAATTTTTGAATTTAAATTTTTTTTTTTTAAATTTACTTCAGAAAAAAAAAGTTGTCACTTACGAACATATGACGGATCTGTTTAAGCATAAGCAATTTAATGGACAACTGGCTAATGCAAATGAAATGGAGATGAGAAGTAGGAAAGCATAACCATCGATCAGTAAGGTGGACATTTCATTGATAGTGAGGACACTTGAGGACAACAATTTGGAATAACTGAAGAGGTGACAAAACGGACAATGATGATGTTGTTAGCTTGATAGAAGAGTAATTTCATCTTTAACTCTTTCGACACTTATCTTTCTTTCTTTCTATCGAAAAGCAACTTGTTACCGCATTCTATCAATGAATGGATTTCGTCACTCACGGTCAATCTTCCTCAAATTGGTGAACACACACACATACACACACACACACACACACACACACACACACACACACA